TTATGGAAATACATCACCCTTGAAGCCTGAAGATACCAGTTTCCCTGGCTGCCCAGATGGCAGGGGAGTTACCCCTTAGCCCTAAGAGACTCTTACTGGAAAGGATGCTAATTGCTGTAATTGTTTAGCTCTTATTGTTTTTAAGCACAGGGCTCTTTTGGTATTCACTGTTTTCCTTAAATCCCTGCAAAGGTGCTGCTTACAGCTAATGGGCTGCTAAAAGCCCTCCCCACCAGTCAGAAAAGGAGTTTTGGAAGATGCTCGAAGGGCTGTGGGATCAGATATGTTTAGCGAACCCGGGATTGGATTTCCAGGTGCTTAAACCCCATCATTAAAGCAAATTCTCAGACGTGACCAGACCGAATCCAGCATGAAAACTAGCTGGTAGCTGAGAAGCCTTAATGAAGACTGGAAGTCTGCCTGAAAGGGCTACTGTTTGGTGAGTGGGTCTGGGGCTTTTAATTGCTGTTCATTCAAGACCTTTGGAGAGTTTGCATTTGAATGCATATGAGACTTGGGAACTTTCCTATGGAGCAGAAGTTCCCACATTTTTCAGATTCAGAGGAGCCCAGGGTTTCATCCAGCCCGTTTGTAATCCCTTCATTTAGATGGAATGAAGCGTTTCCTTCTGATAAGGTCAAGGCACGAAAATATGAATATATTAAAATACGTGTCAAAATGAAGGTAATCAAAAGGAGAACTGGAGCAAACACTGTTGAGATAATTCACTCATTCCCACCCTCCCCACTATAAATTTCAGTGCTGTGAACATATCCTTATGAAATGTTGGTTTTTTTTTTGTGGGAAAACTCTACTTTGCTATTAGATAGCTACCCTGACCAAAATAACACTACCATCAATCCCAGCCCTGGCTCCAGGCTCACTGGCTGAGGATGCTCTGGCACTGCTGTTGCTGCTGGTGTGACTTAGAGGTCCCTGGTGAGCTTAAGGTTTGTGCTGGGGGATGCACATGGAAATACTAAGATTTGACCCCTAATGTTCCCCTGGCATCTCCGCAGGGATCTACTGGCATCCTTAGACACCATCCCTACAGTTGTGTTTGCTGTCCTCTCCCCTGTAGGGTAAGAAAGTCATTCAAGAGGAGGCAATGCAATTGCAAATGAACACTGAAAATTGATCGAGGCTATAATCATCTTATAGTATTTTAATTGTGGGTCTCTCCCTGCTGATTCCATGGCAGTCAATCATTCCCTGTGGAGTCAGCCACCTCTTCTCCTTCCTACACTTTGCCCCTCTTGGTTTGTATTCAATCTATAAGCATTCCTGTTTCATGTGTGCTCCCAAGCTGCTGTTTCCCCATCAGCACCAGCGTTTCCGTTTTCCACCATGGAGGGGGTTCTATAAAACTTGACTCATAAAGGGAAAGAGATGGGATTTGACTCCTGAAGGGAAAGAGATGGTGGATAGGTGAAGGAAAAGATAGATACCCCCCTCCCTGAAAAACAAAGAAATATGAGCAACAAGTGAAAGAGATTGAAAGCAGCTATCAATCGGGCACTGCTCCAGCTTTAAGAGCTGTTGAAACAACATAATAAAAGGCAATAAAGGAGGGATTTATGACCTACCTGCTGGAAATAGCTTGCTGCATCTATTGTGTGGGGTGAACACAGTGTGCAAGGCTGCGAGGCGGATTGGTGCCTGCCTGCCTGTTGTGCACGCGTGGCCAAGCACGTGCCCATGGCACTGCCATCCAGTTTTTCCACCCTCCTCTGAACCCCCACATTGATGGGGTTTGGCATTTTGTGTCTTAAAGACTTGGTTTTGTTTGGTTTGACTCGTAAGCCCAAGACAATTTGTTGCAATCAATGGCAGCAGGCTGGAATTTTAAGGGCCAGGTATTTTACCACTGGGGCTGGACCCAAGCTAAATCTTGAAGGCAGAGAAGGGGAAAACATACAATCCTGCCTATGGCAGCGTTGGGAAAGGCTTGTAAACTGCTGGCATGTATTTAAATTGCAGGAAAATCGGGGGGGGGGGGGGGGGGGAATAAATCTGCAAAACCAAACCAAGAAGAAGAAAGCAAGCAACTCAACATGGAGATTTCCAATGACTTCTTCAGGGCTGAGATTGCCCTTTTATATGGGAAACAACCTCCTGCCCAAAACCCACAGAGGGTTGAGGCTGCAGGCATTAGCACATAAACATAGTTAGGCAGGATGTGTCTAGTCAGCATGTGTCTGGTGCAGGTTGTGGGCTGTTGTGCCAGTGGTTCGAGGACCACTGACACCAGAGAGCTACATCTTAGGAGATACAAAGGGATTCAATAGCTGGAAGATGGTCCTTTGGGCATGGGGAATGAGTATCCTCCCTAGAAACACACTTGTGGCTGAAAGCATCCTGTCTTTCCCAGTCCTGAATGTGGAGCTCGGTGCTGTTCTGCTTCATTTTACAGCCCTGATGCAAAGTCTTCCCTTGGCATTAGTTTTCCTCTCTTTCTTCCTTCGAGCTGTAATCTCCTGCCTGTCACTCCAGCTTTCCGGCCAGGAGTTACACGCTTTTGTTTTGCAAAGCACAGTAAATCTTAATGGTGACATGAGAAGCTCTGGCATATCTGATGCTGTTTGTTCTTTTGGAGGAAGGTGGGGAGAAAAGCGAGCAGGGTTGAGAAGGGTAAATCAATCCACTTTAGAAACAGAGAGATGCAGCATGGCACAATGCCGTAATCCAATGGAACCAGCGTGTGCCGGAGAGACAGATCTGGGACGGAGAGAGGAGGGGTTGCAGTAATCCTCCATCCCTCTGAAATCCCCAGCATGGAACAAAGCTCTTGTTAGCACATAAGGATGGGGGAGTGGTAGCAATAAGCTGAATAAACACCCTTAAATTCAGCTGTAATAAAGTGATGGGAACCTGCACTGGAATGCTTTCATAAACACTTGGGGACAAGGTTGTTCTAATTATAAAAGCCCAATCAAAGGGACCAGCAGACATGAAACTGTGGATTAGTTCAGTTGTTTGAATGTTTGTGGCAGAATGGCAGTAACTTCCTTCTCCCTCACACTGCCCTGAAAGGTTTTGGATGCTCTTTATCTGGCCATGCTTTGGACTCCTGTTAACAAAAGGAGAAAGGAGCACAAAGACCAGGAGGAGAAATGGATTCAGTGTGCTCGCCCTGTGCAGGGTTATAGACTATGATGTCCATCCATTCCCTTCCCTTTCACTCCTTCCTACCTCAAAATAGTTCCTGTCTCCATAAATGCAGAGAAAGGAAAAGAAGAGTTAATTTTTTGAGAGCTGAAAACTACCAGGAAAGGATCTGGAGCCCTCAGGAGGAAAACCCAGCGATTTCCCTGCATTGCAAATTTGAGGGTCAGGTCCTCCCTAAGCCATATCTCTGTTGGAGAATATTTAAGATTGATTAATAATAACACATGCCTTCTGCTCTAATTGTTGTAATTTTAGGGTTGGTTTTCTAAACCTTCTCTTGCACACTTGAAACGTTAAAAGCTTCCTTCTTCGTAAGAAGCATAAAGAAATGGCATGACGGCAGTGGTTAGAAACTACAAGAACATCCCCCTTTTCTCCCCTGATCATGACAGCATCAAAAAGATCATCAGATCTGTCAGTAGTCTTTGAAAAGATGCTTTAGAAATATGAGTGAGGAGCTGTTTCAGACCTGTTGATACCTTATGCTTGGAGAAAACCCTGCTGATGGCTATTGGAAAGCATCCTCCTTGTTCTCCTGGAGGAGCTTCCCACCAGGTCCATCTTTCTGCTCCCAGTTTCCCTCAGTGTTTCCTCCTCTCAGGACTTCCCTTCTTTCAATCTTCCACTTCACATACAGAAACCAGCCCAAACCCATCTCCTGTCCCAACCATTTCTCCCAGCCCAATTTTGAGGCAAGAATGTGGAGTTAATAGGAATGCTTTACAAACAAGCATTCAGAGGGGAGAATGTGCCTATTCATCTCCTAATACAGTGCCTAAAAAAATGTCTTTCTTTAATTGCATTTGGAATCTATTCTAACGATTTACCCAGGAGAGTGTTAAGATGTCAAGGCTTTTTCATTAGTAATATATCCCCCAACAGAATCTTTGTTAGGATAGGTTAAGGCAGTAAATAGACCATTAATTTACAGGAACATAATTAGTAGCTTGCAGTTAGTCATGAAAATAGTCGGATTTCTTTTGGCGTTATTCAATGGCAAGATTTACAACAAATAGAGAAGCAGCAGGTCAAAAACCACTCAGGCCAAAAAGCAGCAAAAGCTATTGATTGAAGTTGCAACGATAACCTTAACTCTGCCCCAGTGCCCCAAACAAGAGAATTTATGCAAACAAAATACATTCTCCAAGTGGTAAATAATGAACACAGAAAAAAAGCACCTATTTTGAGCAAATATCAATACATGGCTATAAAATAGCTTGTTGTAAGGGCTGTGCGTATCTCACATGTAAAATTGACAGTGGTATAGCATAGAATCGTAGAGTAGTTAGGATTGGAAAGGACCTTAAGATCATCTTGGTCCAACCCCTTGCCATGGGCAGGGATGAGTCTACTAGACCATGTTGCCCAAGGCTTTATCCAGCCTGACCTTGAACACTGCCAAGGATGGAGCATTTATATGAGGCACTTCTTTTCCGAAGGGATTGTTGGTAATATTCAGATTTCCAATGAAGGCATTTTATTAGTTATTATTTATATAATTGACATGTTTCTGTTTGACACCTTGTCATCATTTTGGTGAAAGGAACTGAAATAAAACAGCTTGTATGGTCAAGGTCGTTTAATTTAGATTCTCAGAAACAGGGAAAAGAAAGTTCTAATACTAAAATACATCTCAATTCAAAGTTACCTTTTATTATTCTTAATTTTAGATTATTAACATGAAAAAAAAACCAAACTTAATTTGACGTCAGACTGAGTGAAAAACTCATTTGATGAAGGGTTTTTACACCTCCTTAGTAGGCAGGTTGGTTTCAGACAGTTCAGAAATAGGCTTTGAGCCAATTGTAGCTTTTTGGGGTGTATTACTGCAACTGGCAAAGCACAAAGGAATTTTCAGGGGTCAGGAGCTGTGCTCATAGGACAGTGCCTATAAATCATAGGCATTACTCAACAGGTGAAATAACAATGTATATTAGACAGCAGTTAATGTTGCACTTCTAAATGATAGTGAATGATCAAACTAAAATAAAAGGAACAGTAATAAGGTTATTGTGTGCTGGACCAAGAAGAGCAAAGTTCAGCTGCATCATGAGATGAATGGATTATTGCTTCCCAAACCAGACCTTTTTGTAGCAGTTGAAGTGGAAACGGAACAAATAAAGTCTCATTGAAAAGAAGGTAACAAAAGCCATTTAATTTCTTACATTAACTCCTCTTACTTGTTTGTTACTGCTGGTAATGTTGAGGTGCGGATAGGAAATACTGAGGTTTCCTTATGGGAGTTTTGCCAGGAACATTCTCTTTTACATATATAAATTATGGGGGTTTCTCTAAGTTGGAAAAATATCTGCCAGAACAATTCCTCGAAAAAGGTCCTGGGAAACTAAATATTCATAGAAACAGAATAATTTCCCCATTATTTTCTTGAATTGCTCTTTCAATGACATTTAAGAGGAGCCCAAACTTAATCTTTGCTTGTTAAGGCTTGTAACTTCACACTTTGCTATTGCATGAAACCAAAAGCATAACATAAGAACTGGGGAAACTGAGGCAGGGAGTGATTTCTTGCTAGCTGAAGGCTGCAGAAGGAGGCAGCACTATCACAGCTCCAGGTCCCTGATGGCATCATCTGCCAATGACTCCCCATGGGACCAGAGACCCCCAGGCAGCATTGGCCGGTGGAGATAGGGCGATGTGAATTCTGGCTCTGCTTTCATGCCTTTGTTACCTCTAATCCAGACAGGTTGACAGCAGGACAGACTCCTACTGGGACAGTGCCACAGCTTGACCCTGCAGATGGTAAGGATCTCGCAAAGTGTCTGTGTTGTAAAGCTCTGCTGCAGGGTGGAGAATTTTAATAAGGACAGGAAAAAATAGCGAGAGACGGGGAGAAAGGGATACACTGCACAGAACCTGACCTTATTTCCTCAGAGTGTGCGACTAAATCACACAGCTAAAAATAGGTAAGCGATTTGCTTTGATGCTGTAGGATTTTGCTGACACCACTTTTGTTACACATATAAATATAGAGATTTAATATAATATTTCCCTTACTGCAGTGTCTTCTATTAAGGCAGCGCTGAAGTCCCGAGAGCTGCTCGCTCTGGCTGCTGCTTTAAGCTGTGAGCTACAAGCACAGGCTTCTTGGCTCTGCAACTAAAATCCTGCTGGCCTTAGGGACTGTAGTGATAGGACAAGGGGTAAAGGGTTCAAACTTAAACAGGGGAAGTTTGGATCTAAGGGAGAAGTTCTTTACTGTGAGGGTGGTGAGGCACTGGAATGGGTTGCCCAGGGAAGCTGTGAATGCTCCATCCCTGGCAGTGTTCAAGGCCAGGTTGGACCGAGCCTTGGGTGAGATGGTTTAGTGTGAGGTGTCCCTGCCCATGGCAGGGGGGTTGGAACTGATGATCTTAAGGTCCTTTCCAACACTAACTATTCTATGATTCTATGGTTTTAAATGTCCTCCAGGAGGGATGTTTGGTGTCCAGCATTGTCCATTCCTGGTTCTCAGGAACAGTCACTCCAAAACCAGTGGAACTTCCAGGAGTGACTGCTTTGGGAAGTTTTGGTCCTGGTCTCCGGCATCTTTATAATGGGGAGAACAAAACCAGTTTGTCTCTAGGGGGGGTCCCAGGCATGGGGACAGCAGTGAGATGCCCAGGGTGAGCACTAAAGAGGGGAGATTTAGGTTGGAATAAGGCAGAAGCTCTTCCCTGTGAGGATGCTGAGGCGCTGGCACAGGGTGCCCAGAGAAGCTGTGGCTGCCCCATGCGTGGCAGTGTTCAAGGCCAGATTGGACACAGGGGCTTGGAGCAAGCTGCTCTAGTGGAAGATGTCCCTGCCCGTGGCAGGGGCTGGCACTGGATGATGTTTAGGGTCCCTTCAACCCAAATCATGCTGGGATTCTATGATTCTATGATTAAAAGGAGGTCAGTCACCGGTGGCGCGCTCCAGAGGCTGGTACTGGGGCCACCTTTGTTTCACATCATCAGTGATGACAATGACACAGAGAACACCTCAGGAAAGATGCAGACGATACAACACTGTAAGGAGTGGTTGGCAGAGCAGTTGGTTGTGGCACCATTCAGAGGGACCTTGACAGCCTGGAGAAACAAAAGCCTGGACTCTGCTGTGAGCCCCTTGTAGAGCTTTAGCTGGCTCTCCCCATACCTGAATGTGTTTTCCCTTCTGTGACTGAGGCGCAAGTGTTGTCCCTGCAGCATCTGAGGCTTAAAGTGTGCAAATGGAGAGCATTATTGAATACCAAACATTTATTCTGTTGCATAAGCCTCTTGTCTTTGTTCCCTGAGGAGCCTACGCTGAACGCGTGCCTCCAGACAGGACTGTCTGGGAGCAGGAGAAAAGAGATGGGATCTACTTGAATTCAGAGCTGAGCGTCTCACCAGTGCCCATCTTCTTCACTTCCCTCCATGCTTTCCCTTTCCCTCATTCCCCACTTTTCCTTTTATTAAAGAAACTTTCCACTTGCACATAGAGGAACCAGACTCCGAATGGATGCTGAGGGTAAGCAGTCGATGGGGAAACCGAGGAAATAACTGTGCTGTGAGGATGCTGGTTTCCCAGGCCTGACCTGGGAATACCCAAGGGGATGCTGCTGTTCTCCCACATCTCCTCCTGCCTCCTCACCTTTGGAAAGAGCAGCACATGCTGGGGTGAGCAGTGCTCCTTGCGGAGAGCAGTGTAAACAGAGCTCCAGCTGGGCGATGGCACGGAGGGGACATAACCCCGCTCCTGACAGCTTCTGTTGTGCTGAAACAGTTCCTTGCACTGGACCGAGTTTATCTCCAAGTCATCAGATTTACACCCGAGATCTCCTCAGCCTGGCAAATCTGCCACCGCAGCCCCGGGGTAGCCCTTATCCATGTCCCTTTGCACTGCTGGGGATTCTCCATGCACTGCTCCACGTGGATGTGACTCTGCCCGTGCTCTGTTTGGCTCAGGGGGACTCTTAGCAACCATCACACGTGCAATTAACCCCCCCTTTCCTACTTCAAGCTGTCTCATCAGGCTCCCCAGCGATGCAACCCTTACAGCTGCGGTGTGTGCTGTTTCCAGCCTGCAGCTGCAAGGAAAAGCCAGTGCTTAAAACCAGAGCTCTTCCCTCCTGGCTGCACCCAGCTTGTGCCCACCATGTGCCGTGGGAGAAGGTGCCTCTTGCATCCCCTCTTCTGCCACCAGCATCCCCATCGCTGTTCCAGCGAGCATCTCGCTGCATCCTGGTGCTGTGCAGTTACAAAAGCACTACATTAATTTTCCTACAGCCTTTCGGTCAAGCAGCTGAAAGCCTTTTAGAGACTTTAATTGAGCCTCGGAGTTAATGAAGCCTCACTAACATGCCTGCCGCATAAAGGAGTGTTGATTACCCCCTGTTTTACAGAGGTTGTGTGGAGCCTGGGTGGGTTGGGTTAAGGTTGTTTTCCCCTTCAAAACAAAACATGAAGTGCAAAATGCCCTGTCTTCTCAAGAGCAATATTTCCAGGTGGGTTTATGGAATACAGCTCTCCCCAGCCCGTGATTTCCTAAGGAAATTGCAAGCAAACTTTGGGATTGAAATGAATCTTTAGCCTCTGCAGGATCTGTCCTGCAAACCAACATCTACCTCCGTGGAAAGCAGCAGCATCCCAAGAGGAGGGATGTCTGCTCTCAGAGGGTCCTGCCCGGCCTCTCAGAGCTGCCAAGTCAATGCTGTACCAAACAGGACCAAATAACTTCCAAAGCCATGTAGTGAACTGATGGAACCTTGTCCAGAAGCTGCATGTGGGTGAGGGCTTGATCCTGAAAAGTGGTGGTGGTGAAGATCCCTCCTCCCTTGACCATCTACATGTAATATTCTGGTACCTATAGCCAGGACCACGTGTTTCTGCTTAGAGCCCTGGCCAGATACAAACTCCTTTTTTGCTGCTCCCTAGAACTTTGCTTACAAAATTCCTCTTTCCAGTCATGCAACCCTTGTGCTCACATCTGCTGTGCGTGGGGTAATGGGAATCGCAGCTGCCCAGCATCTTTTAGGTGGAGCCCATTGTATCTATGAGCTACAAGCAGAGACTTCTTGCCTCTGCAGCTAAAATGCTGCTGGCCTTTGGGAAAACACATGAGAAATGTCCTCCCGGAGGGATGTTTGGTGTCCAGCATTGTCCGTTCCTGGTTCTCAGGAACAGTCACTCCAAAACCAGTGGAACTTCCAGGGTTATTTGCTAGGAGTGACTGCTTTGGGAAGTTTTGGTCCTGGTCTCCTGCATCTTTATAATGGGGAGAACAAAACCAGTTTGTCTCTAGGGGGGTCCCAGGCATGGGGACAGCAGTGAGATGCCCAGGGTGAGCACTAAAGAGGGGAGATTTAAGTTAGATCTAAGGCAGAAATTCTTCCCGTGAGGGTGCTGAGGCGCTGGCACAGGGTGCCCAGAGAAGCTGTGGCTGCCCCATCCCTGGCAGTGTTCAAGGCCAGGTTGGACACAGGGGCTTGGAGCAAGCTGCTCTAGTGGAAGGTGTCCCTGCCCGTGGCAGGGGTTGGAGCTGGATGAGCTTTAAGATCCCTTCCAGCCCAAACCAGTTTGGTATTCTATGATCCCATGGTTTCCAGCAAATCCTTTGCATCCATGTAAGTATATAGATATCATATATGTTGAAGCATACATTATATAGATATTATATATATAAAATATAATATATATAATTATGCATATATATAAAATCAAAGCCCATGATGCTGTCCTGTCCCCCCAGGAGCTGCATCCCCCTCCCCGCAGGGTACCCCCCTTTACTCAGCCGGGCCCGGGGGAGGCTCCGGCTGCCGCTGCCCGCAGCGCGCTGCCCTCGGGCCCCGCTGTGAGCAGTGCACGGCAGGGGGCGCACCAGCTCCACGGGAGCGATGGAAGCCGGGTCCCCGCGCCGGGGTCTCTTCGGTACCCGGGTTCGAGTCCCCCCGCGGCCAGGGGAGGTCGGGGTATCGTTATCCCGGAGGAGATGCGCGGTGTGCTGAGCCGGACAGCGCTGCTGGGGGTTATTCCAGCTAAATCTGAGCTCTGGAAAACCATCCCTGCGCGGTCAGCCAGCGTCCTACTGAAACAGGAAAACCTCCCGGTACAAGCATTAAGCTCCAAAGAGTCAGGCACATTCCAACCCCCCAGAAACCTTATTTGCCCTTGTTTTCCTCTTGT